CTTTATGTCGAGGATGGCTATGTTATAGAATGACATTAATGTAGAAAAAAAACCTTTTGCAATGTTGCACGCGACTTAAAAAAACATGAAATTTGGAAAAAAATGTTTGTGCCTTGAAGCATGAAATGGTTTATATTTCTGAAATATTTTTTGATATTGCTATATTTCAGTAAAATGGCTGTAACAATTCAAAATAAACTAATCCTCTCTTCTTTCTCTCTCTTTTATTTATCTTTTCCTTTTTTTAAAGACTAATTTCAAGATATTTTGAGGTATTCAAATTATGTAACATTAACAAAATTTAAATATCCCGTTAAATTTTCTTATACTCGTAAATATATCATATCATCATGTTCAGACTATTGTTTACTATGATTATTTTATTGTTTACTGATCGTAAAATTGTAGTAAACAATCACAAAAATAGATGGAAAATTTCATATATTTACATGTAGTAATTCTTATAGAAAATCATATATACTTTATATTATTCAGATATTTGCATATTTGAATTCTCAGGAATAGTAGTTTTGCTTTCAATTATATTTTCTATAAAACATTCCTGAGGGAAGCGAGCTGTTTCCATTACTTTCAAAATTGTTCATGTCAATTCTCTGGCAAAAAGTACTATTTCGTTGATTTCGTTGGTTTTGTGGACATTCTGAAAGGCACATATATGAACGTCGATCTCCCCCTTAGTATCCTGCAATATTCAGAATGGTTCCACAAACTTTTCCTAGCACTGTTTCTGTAATATTCTAACAAACAAATTCGCTTTGGCTCTCGCAAGCTTGAATACATTGAAAAGTTGGAAGCGTAACAGACGTAGAAATGTGTTTAACGTTAGACATTTTGACGCAACGTCTTCAAAATGATGTAATTTCTCAGCGATTTTCTAAAACTTAAAATAACAATGTTCTTAGTCTCTTCTTAGTAGGAGGCCATAGTCTTGGTAATCGGCCCATTAGGCTCATATATCTAACACTAATTACTGTTCATTATGTAAGACAATAAAGTCTTTGAGAGTCTACACAAACACGATACGTACCGTGTACTTTAACAACCATGACGACTGGTGTTCTACATTATCTATTCCAGTCATACTCCACATAGGTCGACCCCCATCTAACCAGTTACTGAATTAGTTAATTATTACTGGCAATGATATGTACATATTTAATTAGCTATATTTATATCTTACTTAATCCATGTGAACGGAGTCAGAAATTGATATACAAATAATGATGCTCTACATTACCACCACAATTCCTTATAAACATTTGACAAGTTTCACCCAATACTTCATATGACTCTCTGATTGCAAAGAAAACATTTGACACTTTATTTGAAATGTGTTTTGAATTTCAAAATATATAGTTTTAAATTTTGTTTCTCTTAGTTGAACACATAAAAGATATAGCAAACATGTTGCAAAATTGTGTAAAAATTTGCTTCTATTCTTGAAGGACTGGTCTAAACAAATTTAGTCATGTTCATCATCGATTTACAACAAAAATACAAAAAATGAATATGTGCTGCATATTTAAGAACAAACGGAAGGGGGGCTGATTTCTCCCATTTGTAAATGCCTAGGGTTTATATTTTTCTGGGTATGCAGAGTATTTATAAATATAATATAATATACTATTTAGTGATATCAGTTGAGAAAGTAACATTATATGACAGTTTCAGATGAATTTGAGAAACAATTAAACTTAAAAAACTTTCTTTTTTTCACTCTATATTGCATTGTAATTTTTTATAACGCACTGAAAAATTACTCATCATTTTAAAAGAAAAAAATATGATTAAATATTCAATATTTTATTGAATATAATAGATTATTTAAGTACTCAGACGATATTTTAGACATCAAACAAATCAAAATTATACATTTAAATATCTTCAAAACAATAATTAGTAATTTTGATAAAATGCTACTATTTGTGTCCTATTTGTAAAATATATATGGTGTTATATTTTTGTGTGTAAACTAAATATATTTAAAATTCGCTAGACAATTTTTTTTTAAATTATAAACTCCGAAGTTAAATGGCTTTATTCAAGCAGATTATTTAAAATATATTAATTTTCAGATGATGTTTGAAATTATTTGAACTGCTAAAACATAACTGCATGCTCATTATACAACACAAAATTATTAAATCGCAATATCTATGAAATATAATATATTTTATGATTTTCATAATAATTATTAAAGTTTTTGTATTTGTACATGATATTATATTAATCTTAAACAAAACATATTCCGTTGCATATTAGACCATGATTGTATATAGGTTTATTATACAATTGTACTATTCAAAACAATTTTTGTTATAAATTTACAAAAGAATAAAAAAGGAAAACCCTGGATATATGAATTGTATAATATTGGATATTTTATTTATCTAAGAATATTACATAAGATAATTTCTTTAACATTAAAAAATGAATACAAAATAATTGTATAAATGTATGTTCATTATACAAATTAAATTGTATATTGTATATAAGACAAGTATTTACCGCTTCTTAAATATGTAAATTGTTTATAAAACTAAAACCTAGTGTATTCATTCTTCGTTTATTTCTTTTACTTGAGGGACAATAAATTCTTCTATCAAAAGAAACATTATATCAAATAAACAATAGCTAAATACTATAGCAAAGTCTTTCGAGGTAAAAATAAACTATCCACCGAATCCTCCAACTCCCTCTCACAAAATTTGTAAACTTTGTCGACCATTGGTTTACACATCTTCTAACCCTTATGAATAATATTTATAGCATATATTTCCCTAGACATTACACAGTTATGTGTCGTATAAACAATGAAAAAGTATATATTATAAGAAATAAACATTATGAATGAAATGTTCAGACTATTGTTTACTATGATTATTTTACTGTTTACTGATTGTAAAATTGTAGTAAACAATCACAAAAATAGATGGAAAATTTCATATATTTACATGTAGTAATTCTTATATAAAGCTACATTTTAGAGGAGATTTCTTCAACGAGCAGAACTTCATATTTGCATTATGTACATTATTTTTGGCGACGGTACGCCGGTATGTATTTAAGAACCAAGTACCATTATTATATAATATATTATTATCATATTAACATTCAAATTAACTTGGTAAGAAAATAAAACCCCAGTCGCACACTTTTCACACAAGCTCGTTAGCAACAAACAGCCCTAGATAAAACAACGGAAATACATTATTATTTGCAAAGGACACAATACGCCTCCCTAGAAGTGAACTTGATTTATGGATTCAGGAAAAAAATCTGAATTATATATGCACGTTCATAATTTAGTGAAGCTCTGGTTTGCATGGCGTAGATTTTCCATTTGTAAAAAACGCAATATTGGGGATGTTTTATATTTTGTGGTGAATGAAGCTGTAAAGACGAATTTTCAATGCGCATTATTTTCAATGCAGATTTACTAACAAAAAACAATCCAGATAAAAGCCCAAATAGACTGTTTTGTTTGAAATTTGCTGAATATATTTCCAAGTAACGGCTATATATAAATATCATTTAATTGAAATGTGTTAGAAATGATAAAACTGAAATAAGGAGAAATAAAAACGGGATAAATTTTTCCCGTATCTGTCTTTTAACTCTGTTACTTGGCGATATGTACATTCCTTACATAGAGAACAGCGTGTGAAAATATGTACGATTTAATTTCAATAAAAACTTGACTTTTCATCACACTTATATTGAGAGAAATCCTAGCCGAAAATACAAGAAGAGCAGACTAAAGAAACAAAATAGACCGCTACGATGAAAAAATCACCGAGAAAAAAGTATTCATTTACAACAAATCTTGTAGCAATTTACAAGGTTGAGAATCTTGGAATAGTTACGTGCAATATATTTTTACAGTTGTCTATATAACATGTGTTAATTACACGCGACCCCTACCCCACGGGCATCACAACAAGTCAGATCAAAATACACCCTGATCTTGATTTCATTTAATTTCTGATTTAAAATACAATGTTGCTGTCAAAATTAACTTAATTTAAACTGACAACTGACACACACTTCAGATACTCTATGGTAAATGTGTAAATAATTTGTTAATGACGTAAAATTAATTACCAATTAATCATTGATCAGAAAACATCAAATAAATAAATTCCAATTTATTCTAAACTCTTTGATTTATTTCTTTTTAAAGTAATCAATGCATAATTTTATAATATACTTATTATATTTATCTTGCATACTTAATTAATAAAAAAAAAATCAATATTTTAAAGTTATTTTTGGTCTATTTTCCAATAGACTTTATCTTATCATATTACTCTTAATTGTAGTAAACGCAAATATTTAAATTATATTGGTCATGAAATATAAATGATTGGATGGTGAACAACAATTATCTAAATCTAAATTTAAAAGCAAAAATCTACAAGGAACTTACCAGCTAATGCCAAATCTACTGTGTCAGTGGTAGTAGAGGATGGGGGCATGCTGCCGTAAGGGAGGGTATCAGTGGTAGATGGTGGTGACATACTATGCATAGAACCCGTGCTACCTGTAGGACTGAGAGGCTGCTGTTTCACATAACGTTGATACTGCCATTGTGATGTAGCCATGGCGTTAAGTTGATCTCTGTCGTACATGGATGGAGATACATTCTGTGGTGTGGTGTTTTGAGGGGTGTTGAGATGAGAGTAATCATTACTAACTCCTGTCATTCCAGACATAGCACAACTTGGGGCATAGCGGTTATTGTAATTACAACTATTTGACATGTGTTGTGGCATAGAGTTCGGCATAATCATACTTCCCATAGTTGACATATTACTGGTATCGTAAGGCTGAGATCCAGATGAATTACAAGGCATATTCATTGGTGGCATACTCGTATTCTGTGAGTGAAAAAAGTCATAATGTGAGCCCATCATGGGAGGCGCATTGTTCATATTCATATTCATACCGTTTAACATACCGAATGGTTTCATAGCTTGGCACTTTCTTCGGAATCCCCGAGGGCGACGTCTGAATGATCCCTCCTCAAACATGAACTCTGCTGCTGGGTCAATGGTCCAATAGTGACCTTTACCTGGACGTCCAATACCTTTAGGTAATTTTATAAAGCACTCATTCAATGAGAGATTGTGTCGTACAGAATTCTTCCAGCCTTGATAAGTACCTCTAAAGAAAGGAAACTTTTGTTGAAGATACTGATAAATTTCACTTAAAGTACATCTTCTGGTAGGATTTGCTTGTATGGCCATGACAATCAAAGCTATATATGAATACGGTGGTTTTTCCGACCTTCGAACGCCCACTCCTGGTTTCTTTCCCAAGGTTTTATCACTCGGAGATTCTGGAGAAGTAGTGGTACTAGGACTTTCATCACCACTATCTGCATCATCTTGGTCATCTTTGAGATCACGTTTCTCATGTAAATGAGTCATATTATGTCCTACTAATTCAGGCACATTGGTCAACGTTGTCATGTGTAGAGGCTTTCTATCAAGTTCAAAATCCATCATCTTAGAGCACTTCTGTGAGTTGTAAATGTACCGGAGTATTCAACAAATGTTACTTAAATTCGTTCTACACAATCACTTGATAATGCCCACAAACAAAGACCATCCTTTGAATTCAAATCCTTTATATCCAAAATCAAACGAAGTTTATCAGTTGACGTGCTTCTTGTAAGAAATAGATATGGCCGAACATAGACCTCTGTTAAAATCTTCACCAAACAGTATTGTATAAACTAAAGTTCCTTAATGGTTGTAATGAAATCGGTTGAATGATAATCCGTTAAAGAATCTTGTTTCTAAACTAAGTGACCGATGAAAAAGTGAAACTGTCATTACACGATTAGAAAGTCTACGCATCATTTGAAGGAAATTAGGCTTGAAGTGAGGGGTACATCCTCCAATAAGAATGGTGCCTGGAATTAGGAAGTGGGCGGAGCAAGCAGGTGCCAATCAAGTGTTTCTTACTAAACGGTTGGAACTATTAAGAAGATGTGGTAAGTAAGCGATGCCGAGAGTTCAATGTTATCATTTCGTGACTACGTGTTTGTACTTTATGCCTCCCTAGTAGAAATTTCTATCAGATGCTTACATTGTATTTTATTTCATCTCTGTTGGACGTTCAAATCTGGCCGGTTCCAGATAAAAAATGTGTCCGTGATATCAAATTTCAACTGGTGATATATCATTTTTACAAGATCCATGACAAATTCGAATAAAAAGTCGTGCCATTTTTCACATTCGTTTTAACGATATCGTTGTAAAGCTAATGTATTTGTTTATTTGCGCATGTAATCAACCATACAACCTTATATTTAAGAAGAAAATATTTTCATTTCCGATTTAGAATATAAGGCTTTTTAAAAAACTGAATTAAGTGAATTTTTAACAATGACCTAAATACAAATTCTAAGATGACAACCGCGACATTATAACATGCATAATGGGGCAAGCAAAAGCTAACGTTAACATCCAGATTAATTGGCATTTTTAATATGCATATTACCAAAAAATTATATAAATGCAATGCTCATTAGAACATTATGAGGAAGGGACTGAGTATCAAAGTATTTTCATCCTCTTATTTATGCGCTTGAGCTGTACGCTCGACAAATGAATTGGATAGTCCCTTATCCCAAACGCATTTGGACAAACACATACAACTTGGGCTTTATAAGATTGTATTTCAGTCGCCGTTATGGTAAATTTGATTTAGTAAGTTGTTTAAAATTCAGTTGTTCCCTAGGTTCGAAACCGGTCAAAATATCACCTTCATATAACTATTCATAAGTTTTTCTCTAAGTTGTTGGGAGGCTATTTGTCACCCATATGATTTCGAAGAATATGGAAATTTTGTAAATATTATAATCGAATTCTTCCAAACGTTGGTTCAAGTCCATGTTATATGTATTCTTCGGAGATACCAGGCAGCATTCAATAAAATTGAAAATTTGAATACGATATTAGATTACTAAGAATCAAGTCAGTAGTAAAGATAATGACAAGATATTATCACAGATATAAGATAAATATATCAGAGTATAGTGATTGGTAGAAACTAGTTTAATCAAGTAGAAAGAAGAAACACCCCTCGTCCATCAATATCATGAAGAAAATTAAGATGTTCAATGTCCGCCTCCCACTACGTCTTCAATTTTCTATGATACGAAACTAAAAGAAAGATGATGCCAGCTCTACCTTTCAATCGACGCCATATTTATTTGTCTTTGTCTCTGATCTGACAAATAATATCATATTCTTGTTGTTAGTGGCGGTTTTAACTTTACCACTTTTCATCTCGAATACCATCTTGATTTCCGTCTTTTAGAATAATATACCGACAGATTGGTGAAAATTATCCATCTCCATTTTACCAATGCACTGTTTGACACTGTGGTTCAAGTTTTAGCCTCTGTTGATAACCCTACATATGCCGACATGTACCCTTGAAAACTATCGGTAGGCATATATTTTTACATACAATAATAAAATATTTTCACTGTTAAAAAGTGCTCAATACAATTGTAGAACGGTATGAAAATATTAAAACAGAACTTTTATCATGTTGTAATTCAGATTTCTATACAGATATTGACATAGATTCGCTGTATTGCAGCTAAATGGTGGTTGTCAAATTGAATACTCTCCAAGCTAATTACTAAATTATATTCAGATGCCAAGCGTTGATATGGTGTCAGAATTTATTTGTACAAATTACTCATATTCTACTTCTGATAATATCATAAAAGTCTTTCTAATTTTCGGTGCTGGATATTAACCGTTAACACATGCCATCAATTTCAGACATTTGAAAACCATAAATATAAAAAAAAGGGAATAGAAAAACAACATTTTCCTGTTCTCGTTTTTTGAAAGTCTATTAAAGTAATAGGCATGTAAAGTACGTTCTAATGGTGATCTATCTAGTTAGCTGGGTAGTTTATAGGTTACTGTACTAGCTAGAAAATGACATATGTTTTGTCAATGTCTTGATGAAATGTGCAGGAAATCAGGACAGGAAATGTGTTCTTTATAAAGCTGATTGACGGCAGGTAGCGCTGCAAGCTTGACTGTATTTTTACACGTGTATCCAGTACGGATCTCGTTTCAATATAAAAAGAACAACAATAGGTCCCATGGAATTACTTACATGTACGGATATCTTAGATTGGTGCATGTCACATACCACGCTGTAATTTCATGATTAGAACAATATTTAGATAGAATGCGGGGCGTACAATTCCTACTGTAGATCATCATACTTCGGCATCTTTTATCACTGAGTACAGTACCAAGAGGGTGTCAAAAACTACTCCCTACTTTTAAATTCCTTTTACTAGCATTACCAGCACCCGACACACTATGTATGGCGTAGTATGAAGACGAGTCGTCATTTTAAGTTTTAAACGCGGATAATTCTGTAGGCTCAAATTGAGAAGATGGGCTGGGGTCACTATTACTGATTAGCTTAGTTAAAAAAATCTCGTTTCTGAGACTGGTGTACGATTAATCAAACGGGTGACCAACATGTCACTTTAAAGAATCATATTGATTCTATGGAACAAGATGTACTCAAAGTATATCATATGGAATCCATATCATTAGATATTAATAATGGTCATACGATCCTTACCAGTACTGGACTGGACATATTAATACAATATTAGTTTATACTGATATACATGTATCAATGAACTTAAACCAAAAACATATTCCTTGACCTTTTCTTTCTTGTTCAATACTTTACCAAGTGAAGACACGGACGTATTTTTTGTATTCAAATTAAACACAAGTTAAGATTCCATGATTTTAAATCATTCGCTAGCTGAAATGATAATTTACAAATTATGATGTTGCAATAGAAGAAAAACAACATCATGGATAGATGCTAATAATTCCAAATGGATGAAGATTAAATGGAATATAATTTCATATAAATATCAGCAGAAGAGATATTGAAAGACATCATTTTCACCAGGGTTGAGATTCACCGCCGGGGTGAATAAGACTTTAACAGGGGTAAAAAAAAGTCCGAGGGGTGAATGGTCTGAAAATGACTGGCTCATTGTGTTCACAATCAAGCCTTGATTCTGATTTCTGGAGTGTTGTGGAAAATCTGAGCACATCATGTAGAAGTTTCTACAGAAGAGAGAAACCCGAATTATTTATTTATTTATTTATTTATTTATTTAGAGTAGGTGTCATTTCGCTATACTGGATAGTGCTTTTCATTGCCAACATGTCGCATTAATTGATCGTTCTGTAGTATCAGAGTGCCTTTAATTCTGACCAGTGTTAAGACGATCTTCGGAATGATGTGTTTCTGCAATCCACTGTGCGAGACATCAACAAATGTCGCTTCATCCAAAAGTAGTTGAGAAATACCCTAGACTCGCTACCTGTGCGCAAAAACTATTATTGCCATTCCTTTTGTATTATCTAGTAGATTTAGCGCAGTGACTGAGATTTTGTCAAAAGTCGCAGATCTCTGGACAAAACTAGACGTGGAGATCTGCGTCTGAAGCTGACCGGACATTAAATCTTTGATTCGTGAACATCAAGCTCAAGACTCCCACTTAGAACTATACCTCATTAACAAAATCTGACCATATAAATGTTTTTTCGTACTGTCAAGTAACCTAATTTCGTGCTAACCTATTTTTCGTGAATTTCCGGAGAGGATTAATAATTTACATGTGCGACCTCGCATGACCTACGCATTTGATTGTTTTAAAAAACATGTGTTATCTCTACAATGTTAGCTAGTAGAATGAATCCAATAGTTTCGAGCAAGGTAAAATGTATTAACGTATACTTTGACAAATACAAAATGGCGGATTTCAGTTATTACCAAACGTCACAATTTTTTATCGGTCGAATTTCCTTATAATCCCTAGCTGTAATCGGAATTCCAAGTGTCGTCTGCTCGAATGTAGTCCAACGAATGAAGTCATATGATCAACTAGCGGATTCCGTGTCAGCAGAAAAATTCTATGGAACACAATGTGGGCCATATTCTTATATTGTTTCAATGACTTTAAGCAATAAATCACGCTACGTATCTTATTTTGTCAGTCTCTATTTTTTTTAAAATCATGGTTCTTTGAAGGAATTGTCACTAGTTATAATGAATTCATATTAAAGATAAATACTAAGTTAATTATACCACTGGGTATCCATACAACGTGTTTCTCTCGACTTTTTTATAGATCAAACATTGTACACGAAAATAGGTGACGCATTCTGCCGCCATTGCCGAGTTGGTTACTCATGAAATATGGGTCAAAGTAAGGGATTCATAGAGAAAATCGAAACAAACCAATTTTAATTATTTTGTAGAATATCTGAGGAAACATCTAAGACATAAAAAAAAATTCCCGTTTCTTTAAGTTTGACGAAATTCGGTTTTGAATCCTTATATGCACGAA